CACACAAACACACACGCACGCACGCACGCACGCACACACACACACACACACACACACGTACATCATTTTATGTACATTACATTCATCTTTGTATTATCATCATTTTGATTTGGTCTTTCCTATGACATAATATTGTCAACATGATTGTTTACTGCTTTCCCACCTTGTACAATGTTTCTTTGGTAATACTGTATTTTTGACATGGAAATAAAGGTTAATTGACTCTTGAAAAACCTAGCCTAATGGTATATGACCGCATTTCCCATACATCCCATAGATACGTGTATGTCATAAAGCCTCTGGGGGAACAGTCCTCTCCTGCTGCTGACTACAGCCCACATGACGGTGAATAACATGGCTGTTTCTTTACAGCAGACACACTGATCCAAAAGTTTCTGATGTTAAAAGTAATTTAAGCAATGGGCTATATAAACCCACTATGACCATACAACCCATCTGGAGTCAAATAACAAGAATACTGGGAAAACAAAAGGGGAAACTGCAACATAGAGAAAATATATTTACTTTTGTGATATATATGATGTATTATCATGCTGTATATGACATCTGACTCTCTCTCACAGATTTTTCCAAATGCAGACCTGCGTCTTCTGAAGCTGTGTGTCTCCATCAGAGACAAACTTCTACAGAAGAAATATGATGAACACAAGGTACAGCATAGTGATATGCATACAATCTGTCTCTAGTGGCAACAATGGTTATCGTTTACAGGTGAGATAATCAAGCTGCCAACAAATACCCACAGTTTATATAATCTTTATATAATTGTCACTGATAAAATAGGGAAGAAATATAAAGTTGCACACTTTTAATGAGTTCAAATTATTTGTTTTAAACATTTCTTTTACCTAAGTAATTATTTTTTTCAGATTCCGAATGTCTTTTTCCGGATCTCAAATCTTTTGTCTTGTTCAGATCGTTTTTCCCTTTTTAAGTCGTGTTTTTTTTATTTCAGAAAACAGAAAACATATCTGAATGCGAATAAACCCAAATGAAAAAAAATAATTTAATCAATATTTCGGCCCAGATTTAACTCCATACCGCTAAGACCTGTATTTCGTTGCATCGCATGACGTTTCATACGAATCAATTAAAAACAGTGTGAGGGAACGGGCTGAGAGACAGTGGAAAACAAGCAGCGATCCAACAGCATCACACCTCATGCTTCAGGAGCAACACGTGATAGTAACTCTCACCGCGCTGACCAAGGCTCACAACAATTGATTGATGATGATTGTGATGTGTGTTGTGTCCATTGACCAGGCGGACTACAGTGACCAGGTGCAGCGGGACCTGCTGGACGCGCTCCTGAGGGCCAAACGCAGCGTCGACAACAACAACACAGCAGAGACCAGCGCAGAGTCTGTGGGCCTCAGCGAGGACCACCTCCTCATGACTGTGGGGGACATCTTTGGAGCCGGTGTGGAGACAACCACCACAGTGCTGAAATGGGCCATCGCCTACATCCTCCATCACCCTCAGGTAGGATCAGCAGCACAGTACACCACAGATGGCTCTGCCTGGGCTGTGAAGGGCTTTATTTCCTCCTCCATATATTGTGTGTTTGGAGGACTCCCTTTAGCAGTAACGTACCTGGACCTGTATTCTTCTGGCTCACACATGCTTCACGCTCTGTCTGAATTCAGTTAGAGTTTGACTTAGTGTTTAAGTTGGCTATTCAACTTGCCTTTCTTTGACTTTTACTAATATAACTGAGCTGGTTCCTCTGCACTCCACTGGAAGCTACTCTGACTCTATTCAAAATAGGGTAAGTCATTATATTTCCACATTTAAGTACTCAGACCTTGTACTTGAGTTAAAGTAGAAGTAACACAGTCTAGGAATACTGCATTCAAAAAATCCTGCATTCAAAATGTTGCTCAAGTGAAAGTGGAAAATAATTATCATCAACATATAGTTAAAGTACCAAAAGTAAAAGATTGATCCATTTCAGAATAATATATATATGATTTATAATGATTGATCATTAAAGTGTTCTCAAACCTGGTAAAGGTGCAGCTAGTTTGAATGACTTTGTATACTGCAGGGTAGCTTGTGGATTTACTCCAGGTGGAACTAAAGTCTGATTTAACACTTGATTATATTTCACCTCATTCATCCACATCTGTGAAGTGACTAAAGGTATTAAATACATGTAGTGGAGTAAACGTACACCATTTACTTCTGAATTGTAGAAGGGTAGAAGTACAAAGTTGCATAACATGGACATACTCAAGTAAAGTACAAGTCTCTCAAAATTGTACTTCAGCACAGTACTTCTGAGTCAATGTTGGTAGTAACTAAACACCACTGGTCATTTCACTCCCCATGTGAGTCTAGGTTATGATTTTGAGGAAGTATGTCAGGTTTATTAAATGGCTTATTAGGTTATCACAGTATTGCACTTAGTAAGTGTGACTATGATTCACACACACACACCATCGTAAATGTGTATTGTTGGTACAGAACGTGGATATTCATGACTGTGTGTGCGTGTTTGTGTGTATGTGTGTGTGTGTGTGTGTGTGTGTGTGTGTGTGTGTGTGTGTGTGTGTGTGTGTGTGTGTGTGTGTGTGTGTGTGTGCGTTCAGGTGCAGAGGCATATCCAAGAGGAGCTGGACAGAAAGGTGGGGGGGGACCGCCCCCCCCAGCTCAGTGACAGGGGGAGTCTGCCCTACCTGGAGGCCACCATCAGGGAGGTGTTACGGATCCGGCCTGTGGCCCCTCTGCTGATCCCACATGTGGCCCTCAGTGACACCAGGTACACTCAGGGGCCTTTACCCCCCCCCCTCTGACACACAGGAAGGAAATCATTTAGGTGATCAACATCGCAGCAGTTTACTGATAAATACTGATCACATGACTGCTCGGGATTCCTTATGGAAAATTGTGCTTAATATTCATCTTTACAAAGATATTTTTGTAAGGCATCGCCAAGCAGACCTGCAATCACTGAACCACTGTGTGTCATCTGTGCAGCATTGGGCCCTTCACAGTGAGGAAGGGGACCAGAGTCGTCATCAACCTGTGGTCCCTGCACCACGATGAGAAGGAGTGGAAAGACCCTGAGCTCTTTGACCCTGGTGAGAGGACACTGTGTCCAATGTGTGCCATATCTGATCCAAGAACAGGAGGCACTGAAGTGTGATTCAAAGTTGGCATTGAGGAGAGCCTTTCTCATGCCTGCTGGGAGAAAGCTTTTGACAGATAATACCTGAACTCAAGAAAGATCCAGATTTCTGACAATTCAAAGGATTAAGCCATCTCTGTTATTGTTATTAGGACACAGGATGTAGAGTTAACATTGAGTGTTCATTGGCTATCAACCACCTAGAGCAATGATAATATAGTGGGATTATCCTTTTAAATAAGAACATTTAAAACATGGATACTATTAAACGTAGTGTCTACAGAGTTAGTATCAATGGAATGTCCTTATTGGTGCTATTATCTGTTCAGAAATAAAACCCTAGTTGCTCAGGATACTCTATATGTCATCTTGCAGGGATAAGTGGTTGTTGTTCTAAATCAATTCAGCTACTTATATTGTATTCGGGTGAAAACCTGAACAAATGGAACAATAATAATAGCTACATTGTTTATTTTTGAAATTAATACGAAATGACCTTTTAAGATAGTACAGATAGCACTTTATTTTCTGTACTTTAACCTAAATTCCTTAGCATTTTTAGCAGGAAAAAATGTTAAATCAAACAGTTTTCCACATGTGGACCACCTACACTGAAAAAACTTTAATTAAATGTATTAGGTCAAGAGATTTCACATAACTGTATTAGGTGAGTTGAAAGCAATAATATTCAGTTTAAATACCAAAATAGGTTCAACTTAATATTATTGCTTTTGACTAACCTTATACAGTTATAAGGTTAGTTATACGTAACTTACCTTATAACTGTATAATCCATTTAATTAAAGGTCACCTATCATGCTATTTTTAGGCAATAGCATAGGTCTCAGATATATACAAATATATAAAAAACATGTAGGCCTATATGAAATGTTTTGCTCAAAATACCAAACAGATCAGTGATCACCCATTATAGCCATGCCTCGTGTCCTATATTTCCACCCTGTTACTAAAGTGCTGATTCTGGGTATAAAGCTTTAAAAAAAAAAAGAAATGTAAAAAAAAGGGGGGGGGATTCTACCGGCAGATTGTCAGCTAAACACTGCCATGATTAAACGCCATATCTGGTTCAAAACCACATTACGGATTATTTCTGAAACAGTATGGAGCTCAAGGATTTACCACAAGGACAGTACCTTTTTATATCCGGCTTCTTTACACATACTCTCTCCAGTATAGGTTAGCTCTGAGTGTTAGCGATGCTTGCTAATTTAAACACAGACCATATTACGTCCAAAACACGTTGCGCATTGTTTCTGATAGCAACGTTTCTGATAGGGCCGTGGGCGTAAAGCCAGCCCACATTTCTTATTATGTAATATCGGCAGCAAATCAGGATCAGCTCCGTTGTAGCCCCGTTTTTAGAGATTTGCGCATGGAGGAAAGGAGAGAGGGTTTTATTTTCTGACACTGTGAGTCTCCTCACACACCGGGGACACATATTTATGTATAAAAGACATCAGAAAGTGTATTTTGCATGACAGGTCCCCTTTAAAGTCAGATTCAGTTTTTTCAGTGTGTGAGCCACAGTCTGGTGGTTGAACCTGCTTGTGTTGTTGTGACTCGGTTTGTTCCTCTGCAGCTCGCTTCCTGAACAGTGAGGGCACCGGAGTGAGGGTCCCGTCCAGCAGCTACCTGCCGTTTGGAGTGGGGGTCAGGGTGTGTCTGGGCGAGGCCTTGGCTAAGATGGAGCTCTTCCTCTTCCTGTCGTGGATCCTGCAGCGCTTCTCCCTCTCCGTCCCCACAGGGCACTCTCTGCCCAGTCTCCAGGGGAAGTTTGGCGTGGTCCTCCAGCCGGCGCGGTACAAGGTGACCGCCACCCCCAGACCGGGCTGGGAGAGCGGCCACGTGTCCATTTAGGACCAGACAGTCTTCTCTACCAAGCATCATCATGCAGATCATGAACCGGACATTTACTAGCATCTCTTTGTATGCATGACATCTTTGTTTCTTCCCAATCTAACACAATCTTTCCAAACAGTTTCATACTATATTTATAAGTGATATTTCATTTAATTTGTTCTACTCCTGTGACATACTTCACTGAATAATCTACATGTCTACACTTATGGTTTCATATTCAATAGGGGACACAATATTCCTGTTGCTGCCACAAAGGTTTGGGAAAGCACATTTACTCTGCAGATAAGAGTAATTTCAATGATCTTTTAGGCATTCACTGAACGACCATGTGTATAAGGGGTACTCCAACTTGTGTGACCGAAGGTTAGTGTAAAGGCGACCTCTTAACAGCATGTTCAAAAGTGATGCAAGAAAAGCCTGTGTTGAGTCAACTCAACCTATGGGAGTGGTTTACCTAAAATAAGTTTAAAGGAACCATGGGCACTCAGTGTGTGGAGGAACGTCAGCTGTACTTAGATAGCTGTGTATCCTTATAAGACATAGCCTACAGCCCAGGGCTAGAGAGCTTTCTCTTATCCACAATGCCGACAGTGTTTACATTCCTCAAAGCATTCTGAGCAGAGAATCTAGTCACTTCTAATGAAACCTGAGCACTCACAGACTGCAATGGCAATTATTGCCATTGCCATTATTACAAAGGTGAGGTTTAGAGTGATCCATATGCAGACACATAACAGATGATTTCCGGTCAATGCAGTTTAGTTTGATGTTTATTCTGAGTTGTACAATACCAGGGTTCAATCTTCCAGTGAGTGTTTGTTGTGAGGAGTGGCGTAGCCACCATAGGGCCCAACCAGTTTAGTCATTGGCCCACCCTGAGAAAGCTTCGGTGTAATTGTTTACATTTTTTATTATTATTATTATTATATTATACTCATTTGTATTCACCCATTGAGAATATCCAAGCATTCAAAGTGAAATTCAAGTGAACAAATATCGAGTGGAATTACTGTTGTATGTGTTTTATCCTCTGAATGGAACTAATTTCCGGTAAAAACTGGTTGAGGTGGTATTTCCCTGGGTGGAATACAGGCAAGTAGGGACGCACTTTTTTACATTACATTGCATTTAGCTTTTCTGTAAAATGTGCAGACATTTCCCCAGCCCAGGAGCTGAAGGTGCATTTACGTGGGATAGATATGTAGACTGGAAGCACCTGCGTAACTCGTTGGAGAGACATAAAAAAAGCGAGGACCACTGCAAGTCCATGAGCAGGTTTTAATGCTCCAACCTTGCTTTTACCTAGTGCAATACAAGAGTTACCAAACGATTGTAAATAACCCAATTTGTGTTCTTGGAAACTGAAAAGGGTATTACATTGTTTTTGTTTCTTTCGTTGCAGTTGTAAATATGTCTTAAAATTATATTTAGGTTAGCTTCCTGTTTTATTTAGATGCTTTTATTTAGATTTTTTTATTTTGAAGGCGAGTTTACGCTGTTGACAGGAAGTAGTTGTTGCTATGGAAACAACGTGACAAAAGGAGCGGAAGATTAATCAACATATAAACACGGAGAAAGTGAAGGATAAAGTTTATGTTTAAGTCTAGCACCCCCCGAAGAGGCACAAGGTTGGTATTAACTATAAACATGTAGGTTTTGTGCTAATTGGTTTATATGCTGTTTTGTAGCTTTGCTGTCTGTTTACAGTTAACTTTTGGTAATATGCTAAAGTGATTCTAATACGGAGTATAATGTATATATATATATATATATATATATATATATATAATGTATTTGTTGTTTTTGTGTCTTTATAGCCCTTACGTTGATATTGGAGTTTTCAATACATTCATATCATCAGTCAGGTCCTCGACCATTATTCGGAGGGAATGCTACAACAATGCTTGTCAATGTGCATTATTATATATTATTATTATTATTATAGGCCAGGCCTACCTTAAAGTCATTTTTCCCCCTGGGAAAAAGCTGGCCCCCTATTTTATACACGCCCGCCCTAAATTACATTTCTGCCTACGCTACTGGTTGTGAGCATCTGCCGTGTCTGGGTAGAACTTTCCGGTCACCCATGACCCTATTTATACACCCTCTGCAGCTAACCCCCGCCACCAAGTGTTCAAAAATAATATGGCAAGATAAATATAAACAAAATAAACTGGCATGCCAACAATACACATAAATAGTGGTGTGAAGTAAGAAGTATAAGGGAGTATAGTAGGAGTATGTAGCGTGTATACAAGATCATCCTGCTGACTCCCATTCATCGGCTTTACAACACTGTCGATTGTTCTTTTTTAACATTCAAACATAAAAAATAACAATGAACATTAATCTGAATGAGGGAGGTGATTTATTATCATTACAACGTAATTTCCCGATCATTTAAATTATTATTACTAACTCGTCCGTGGTGCAACACACACTATACAACCCAGTGAATTGTGTCCCGTAAATGTCACCAGTGTAAACATAATTATGTAAATAACCCAATTTGCGTTCTGTGAAATGGAAAAGGATATTACATTGTTTTTGTTACTTTCGTTGCATTGTCTTAAATATAATTTAGGTTAACTTCCTGTTTTATTTAGAATTATAAAAATTCTAATGTGTCTCATGTTTGCCAGGCCTGCCAGTGACAATGCTTTTGCTAAAGGAGGCATGCAGGCATGGAAGCATGTTCACCAAAGAATGGAAGAGCATGAAAGGAGCGGGTTGCATCGAGATAGTGCAGATGCATATTTCCTGAGAGCAAGCAGAGCTGATATCAGTAGCCTACTCAAAGTGCACCAGATTGATGCATTTAACCCCAAAATAAAAAATAAAAATCTTGCCGGGGGAGCATGCCCCCGGACCCCCCTATAGGATTTGAGGTCCACCCCAAAATAAAACGTGTTCACATGGATAGGTTCCCAAATATTTAACAATATCCTATGTCCATATGTTTCTATTTAAGTAGTAGATTTAAACTAGGGCTATCACTACGGGCAGCAACGTTGTAAATATTGACGATTCATCCAGCAAAACACCCCCCAAAAAAACTCTGGCTGGGTGTATAATTCCCGGCCTGACCTATGGTCCCAGTCCGGCCCTGCTGACACATCACACACCCATACACTACACACATTACTGATTAAACTGATATCACAATTGAGTTACTCTCTTTAAATAAATATACTGTAATTGGAAAAGAATCATGTGTGGTGTCCTTGTTTTGTCCGTCTTTCACCTAACGTTTTTTATTATTATTCATGCATATTTTACTAATCACTCCCCCTTCAAATGGAAATATGTGTTTACACAAAGGGTGACCAAACCCTTTGAGACCCACAGAGAACTTAGATTAAGTTAACTATCTAAACATTCAGGGAGTCCTTTACCTCACCTGGGGCCTCATTTAACTCTAACCCATGCGTAGGCACTAAGCACAAAAACGGGAGAGACGAGAAACTGCGACACCGTTGGAAGAAGGAAGAATGGAGAGAAATATGTGGAAATAATACCATAAATAAAATGTTACCATTGTTTATCATATATGAAGAATTCATTTTCAGACATTGATTA